TGCCAAAGAGGACTCGACAGGGTTTCATGAACGTCATAAATCTCATCACATGAAGGTACAGGCTGTTGCTTAACACAAGGCTTTTTCACTGGAATAGGACAAAGTAGTGATGATGTTTCAACTTCCAGCAGTCAACAGCGGTAGTATCGCCATTATGGCAGTGCCGGTAATTTGTTCATAGATACTGCTGGTGAACACTGTTTATGGAATCAGAGGCGCCCAGATCGACTGAAGGCCATTTTGACGCTGTGAACAGAACAGAAAGCGACCAATTTGGTGCTTCTGCTCCAATTAGCGAGCATGACGAGAGACTGATTTTGGAGATGTTTGTCTCCTGGGTAGGAGATCTTGGAAGAGATCCGCGATGTCATCATACAGGTCCCCCTTCTCGCTGCATTCTTGAGGGCTCGGGTTGCGCTTTTGGAAAGTGTGCTCTGACTTGAGACTTGGCCTGTGCGCCAGGACGACCTGGCGAAGCAGGAACTTGAGAAGGCACGTTCGGCATCGCCGGAGGGTTCTCCTGATCACAGAGTGGCTCAGTGAACCGTGCGATGGTCTGTAAAAGCCTCTTGTAGTTTGGAGTTCCCTGTAAGCTCGGTTCCCATGGAAATGAACGGGTCCTCAGTCTCCCAGAACCTGCCTACACTGCCCTGTGCAAGGTTCAGGGGACTCTCCTTGCAAAGCAGCACAAGGACAGCTGTGCCATGAAATCCGATGTTGGAAGTGCTCTGTAAGTTGCTCAGCATCAACCGTAAAACACACCCGTCATTTTGAAGCTCACGTTCTATGCACCCTTTATGAGGGACGGCTTGAGTGCTGCCCAAAGGCGACGCAAAAAGCGGCTTCACATCTTCACCATGTGACTTGGGTAGCCTGCTGCCTCGACTCGGTTTCGAACAGGCTAACCAGCGAATGTGTCCAGCAGCCGTCGACAATAGAGCGTTTTTCTTTTCCGCTACTCGTCAGAGAGCTGGGCTCCAAATCCACATTAAGGCAAATCCTATGAGAAGCATTGGGTTCGATACATTCAATGACCTGGCGTGCGTAGTGATTTAGTGGCCGCCTTCTTCGGCATGTCTGCCGACGGATATGCGATATGATGGCTCCTGCGCGGATGCTTTCTGAACAGTTATCCCCGGTCTTGATCAGGACTTGACCTTGAACTTCACCAGCTCTGGCGTGAGGCTTGGAGGTAGTTAAATTTGCCGTCCTGCCATGCGGAAGGCCGTACAGAGCAACGATAAGCATGTCTGACTAATGGCAAGTCTGGCTATCGCACCTCGAATCTGTTCGCGAAATTGAAGAGCCCCACCACATGCATGGCAATCAAATGCCCCAATGCAGTGCTGGCCTAGTAGAAGTTCTGAACTTGCCAGTGGTAGATCTCCGAGAAGTTTCGTGCAAGCCTTTGTCCAATTAATTTGTTCCGCTGGCCTCGGTGGGTTGTCGGCGTGTACAGACGAATTTGGCAATGAGGTGCTGGCGGCCCAGCATAGTTTTTTGCATCCTCACAAAACCTAGAAACATGCGGTCTACCCAACATGTGCCCGAAGCACTAGCACAAGGCATCTCTGCTTTGAGGTTCGAGCTTCTCCTGTGTGTGTGTGTGTGTGTCTGCGAGTGCTTTGTGACATCTGCCGTTGGCAGCGCGCCTCTAGCTTGCAGCTCATACACACGGTTCGTTTGACGCATGCAGTACTAGGGTACAGAGTCCGCACAATACAGCGCAGCAGGCATAAGCACAACACGGTTTAGTACGGGATTGGTATAGCCTTCGGCAACTGGCCGTCGTGAGCCCCCAAGCTCAGCATGCACGGAACATAGCTCCCTGCTCGAGCCTTGGCGGCGTAGCGCGCATGAGCCATGGAGGAGAGCTTGGTCGTGCCGAGAGTTTTTACTAGCTGTGACAATGATGCCCTGGTCATAACTTTTCGAGAGCCTTGCATCTCACGCCCTGGAAGACCAGTGCGCTACAATGAGAAGTGTTTCGAACGAGGAGTCGTCGATGCAGCTCCGGGCTTCACAGGCAACTTGCCAGAGCGCCAGCGTTGCTTTCCACACTTTGTGCTGCACCCCTGCTATGCGCACCCTCGGAGAAAGTGCTGTCGTGTGCAGGCCACGACTGACAAGGAGCACACCAAGTTGAAGATCGAGGCTGCACCCTTGTGCACTCGGGATGCGTTTCTTAAGACTTGGGCAGCGACTTGCTCAGTGGCTCTTCGCATGAAAGAACATATCCGAGCACTCATGAATGAAGAAACCTCAGCCCTTCACCGAAGACGGATACAGAGCTGTCCGGCAGGCTCTGAAGCGAACCCTGGATAGTCTGAGGCTGAGAGCTGGAGGAGAGGTCCGGTGAACCCCTGACGCGACGGCCCCTGCCTTTGCCGCCTGGAACTCTGAGCCCAGGCCACCTGCTGCGGCTGAACTCGATTCTGAACGGTGCGGGGCCAGGTTAGGGCCTAGGCTCTAGACCTTCAGGCTGTTCGGGGAGTTGGAAAGTTTAGGGATTCGGGGACAGGGTGCGCCCTTGCAGGCCTCCAGAACCCAGTGCTGAAAGAGCTTTCATGCAAGCATCGAAGTCAGCGTGCGTGATTTTTGCGTACTTCTGGGGCCTGCGTTATTTGAGAAGTGAATAGATTGCGAGATTCTTCTCCGGCTGGTAATGTCGGGTCCCCAAAAGCACGAAAGAAAACAACCCTGAACCTCCGAGGCCGTCTCCTTGTGTCATTCTGTCGTTCTTCTGGCTGTGTGTGACTGGTTCTTCATGCTTGTCTTCTTATTCACTTATTCTTCCTCCTCGTTTCCTCCTCCTGATTTTGTCTCGTCTTATTGCCGATGTCGTTGTTCATGTTCCAGTATGTTGTCTGCTTCTCATTTGGGTCTTTGTTTTCAGTTCGCACTCGTAATTGACGAACATACGTTTGGCCTTGCTCGAGTTGTCTACGCGGCGATTCGCTGAGCGCTCTGATTTTGGAGAGCTGATCCCTGACACAGCGTCCGATCTTCGCTGGACTTGTTGCGGGCCTCGGCGGGTGTACGCCTTCTCGAACTCTTTGCAGATGTTTCCTGGCTTTGGCTAGTACTCCCTGCGGACCCGAAGTCAGCATGAGCAACATGAAGCTAGGGGGTCTGGGGCTCGGGCTTTCTCCTGCCAATGAAGCCCCAATGGGAAACCCCGGGAGGTTTCGCATCTTCGTTTCGTAGGACGCGTCAGCTCGAAGTCGTCCGTTCAGGGCCGGAGGTGAACTTCGATCGCCTGGCCTCCGCGATCCAGGCAGGATGTCGGCTCTCGGATCTCGGATCAGTAGTATTAGTACTACCAGCAACGCACTAGACATAGTGTACCGACTGTACCAAGATTATACCAGGAAGACTAGCACTCATCGCAGCAATGTTACACATTGCAACAGGCCCGGGGTTTGGTCCGCGGATTCGGGAGGGTTCGAGTGCTGAGAGTGGATGTCGCGACACCACCGCACGGATGCTTGCGGGTTGGGTTTGGGTTTTTGGGGTCGTGTTGTTCCATGAGCTCACAGTTGTGCTTGGTGGTCCTTCGACAAGCCGATGAGCAATTCGCAAACCAAGGTTCCTTTCCACTTATGTGCAGCCCTTCTGGAGCTAGGATGCGGACTTGAAGCAAGAAATCCCTGAGCTTCAAGAAAGCTTCCGTCAACCAGCCAACCGACGCAAACGCCCAGAAACTCACAGAGACACATTGACATGTGTAGCCCGGGAGACCTCGCCTGTGACTGGTGGCAAATGGGGGCTTGAACTAGGGAGTCATTCTTGGGGATCCTTAACAATTGGGGTCCTGCTATTCAGGGTTGCATACTAGGCCTCGGCTCCAAAGTGTTCTTCCATTCCCACGTTGCCTTCAAGAAGGAGGCAGAGGGAGCTGTGCCCTGAGCCCCCACGGAACAGCAAACAAGAACAGCTGTCTTCTTATGTCCTCATATATTGATCACTCTGCTAACCCTACGCGGATGAATTCAGACCCACGCCTTAAACCTTAAGCTTAAATCTTCGTCCAGGGGCTGGATGTGGAGCTCCGGGCGAAGCTGGCCGAGAGTGGCGACCTGCCGCGGGCTGAGGAGGGGCTTGTGGCCAAGGTTGTTTAAGTTGTACTTCTGCGTTTAGAGTAGGAGATCCCAAACTGGAACTAAGCTCTTGCCTGTTTCAGCCTTGACCCAAACCTAGACCCAAACCTAGACCCAAACCCATCCTAAATCCACAAGCCCCGGACCAGACCTCAACACGCCTGAGGCTCCAAGCAGCGCCTTCCGACGGCACCTATGAGGCCCATCTGTTAGACACTTTCCGTTGCGGCGCCGTTGTTGTCGGCTGCAGTGGCGTTTGTCGCCTTCTTCGCAGGTCCTGCGGAACAGCCTCAATGAGACCCAGAAGCGCTGTAAGGACCTGCTTCCTCGTTTCGTGATGTACTCCCGAGTGGCCTTCAACATACCGAGAGTGTAGGACAGTGTAGGACTTGGTGGGAACGCGTTTCGAAAGTCACTGGTTGATTCACAGGCCAAATCTGAGATCTTTTTCTACCTTGCCCACCCGGAGTCTTGCTGGTTCACCTCTTCCGTTTTTTGCAATGCGGACATCTGGCTGTTCACTATAGCGATCACATTTTCGGACTAACCTATAGCAACTCGCTTCGTAGCCCCCAGCATTTCTTCGCCATCACTACTTCGTTCCTGAACCCTACGCCGATCCAGAGAGCATCAAGCACCCGAGACCCTGCATTCTCGCACCCGGCAGGATCTAAACGATGAAATGCTTCGAGTGGCTAGGAGCCGAGCGTGTGACGTTTCGGAAAACCGAGGGTTTGCAACCCTTGTGTTTTTGGGTAATTGCTGGGTTAGGACTGGACTGGCAGCCTTCGGGCATTAACCGGGACTTGGACCACACGACTTGCTTGAGGTGATTTTATGAGCTTCTGACGAAGCGTGGGTATTGAGCCAACACCCCTGCAGTTCTAGACATTCCTTTGCTTGTGCCACGACCCGTCGAGGCAGACGCTAACGAGGAGCTTCACAACACTTTGCGTTCTCTAAAGGCCCGGCGGAGAGGGTGGGGGCCGCAGAGCAGCCATTCCTGGTGACAGAGCCGATGTTTCTAAGGCGCTCGCCGTGCTGTCTCTGCCTCCAACCTGAACTTCCACCTTAACAGCCCTTAAGTCCCGGACCCTGAAGCGAAACCCCTAAGTCTTAATGCTTGGAGTTTTTGAGAGGCTACAAATCGTCGGCTGGTGGAGGAGGTCCAGAAGCAAACCGAGGCGTGGTCATCACTTGGGGTGTAGGAGGTGTAGTCATATAGCCACTGTTAGCGGTGTTGTCAGTCTCGGTAAGCTTGCGAAATATTTGTGGTGATGCTGGGGGAATCAGCCGGACTTTCCCTTTGTGTGTTTTGAGTCATCATGAAGAAGTTGGCCCAACATATCAAAAGTGTTCGCATAATTACTGGGCATACTACTGGTATGGCATTGCCATGGGTGGGTGGGACCCAATTCGTGCCGGGGCGGGAGGTTTATCGGGGCAGAATCACAACGCGCTGTAATTTTGTGGTCGGAAGTTTGAGACGCGGCTCTTCTCGTTTAACAGCCCTGAACACTCTGACATCTTGCACTTCCAGGAGCTGTCCACCCTGACGCAGCAGCGGCTTGGGGATATGGCTCCTTGGATGCATTCCTGTGGAGGCTTCTGTATTTTCTCGGTTCTTGTGGGAAGAGGGTGTTTTTGTCGAGGAGCTCTGAAGTGCGGGGTTCAGCCAGGGATCGGGCTTTAGTGTGTACGGTTTTGGTTGTTTCTGCAGCCTTTCTTCTTGCAGGCTTCCCACCTGGAAGGCTTTGAGTCTTCGAGGAATCAAGGTTGAGGCTGCAGAGTGTAGGACTTTGAGGACGGGTTTGCACCTATGGGTTTCGGGATTACCGGTCTTGGCCTGAGAAAGGGATGGTACAGTGATACATAGCCTTTATTCTCAGCAGCAGATTCACATGCCGTCCACACTCACTGCTTCGATTTGGGTTTCAGAATTGGGGTTACCGCAAGCGACTCGTCGTTCGCCACAGCCCGAAATAGCGTGTCTTGCGTGCTCCCGCCAGTCCTGTGCAGATTTTGGGTTGTGGCTCGTGTTCCCGCCACTGTTCTGGGTCCCAACCGTGTCTTGCATAGGTTTTAGAAGTTGGATTCCTGGGTATGGAAGGCTTGGGCTGCTAGTTTTGATCACATTTAGGTATCTTTGTTAGCTTTTCCAGACCTGATGCCAGGAGAAGCTCTCGAAGCAAGAGGAGGCCTTCAGCCGGGAGAAGGCACGGGAGGGACTAGTGAAGGCAGCACGATTGCCGGCCTGGAAACTACCTATCAGCTACGACTGACACTAAGCCGATCAAAAGCTCATGCTGCGGCTTTGGCTGCGATTGCTTAGTATGTTGCTGCGGTTACTACTCTCCAGAGGAGCGCTTCTCAGTACGAATGGTCTGTTTCAGGGTTTCACAAGTCTTTATGGAAATTTGTAAAGCCTTAGTGTGCTTCAGGGAAGATTCGGAGGTTTCCCAGTTAAAGATCGAAGGGAAGTTTACCAGTTTGCAAGGTTTGGTAGGGTTCCAGGATTGTGGTTACTAAAAATTCATGTTCCTATCGAGGTATTTATGGCAATAGGATATTGCGATGTCAGGGATGGCTTCCACCCAATGACCTCTCATGCCCAAACACCTACTGAAGCCCTGCCAGCCGCAAAGCCCACACAACTTTCTTCCGTTCACAACCAGAAGAGCTAAGACAATTTTGGTGAACCACAAACATACCAAGGGCATTCTGCATTTATGAGCAGCAGGAATCCTTGGAATAAAAACGCAAGGATAAAGCAGTTGCTCCCACAAGAGATATGGAAGCAGCCTCCATGTCTTTATATGTATCTTCAGCACTTCTCCTTCAGAGCATAGGGCCTCGCATGAAAATTGGAGGCTCCTGCTATCCTTCAACACAGCATGAAATAGCCCCTTTCTTCTCCTCCAAGCCCCGTAGCAAAGGTGGAAACACTTCTATTTCTCATCATGCTTTAGAGAATGCAATGCAAAACAGTTGATTTGCATCTTGAGCATGTTTGATCGTCATAGGAATTGTGCCCTTGTTCGGTGAAGGAAACGTTAGTACCCTCCGTAACTGAAGCAATCGAATGCACACGCATGCAACAATAAGCGACTTTGCACTACGTGGTAAAGGAGCTTAGCAGCTTGTCGGCCGGATCACGAAACGAAGATCCTCTGTCTCTCAATCTTGAGAAGAGAGAGAGAGAGAGAGAGAGAGAGCGGGAGAGATATAGACAGAGAGAGAGAGAGAGAGAGAAAGCGAGCCCCACCATGAGAAGAAACAAGGAGCTCCTTCACGTTTGTGAATCTGAAACATGAGAAGTCCTATATCTCTGTTCAAGCACGGTTGATGTTCCACGATTTGCGCAAGAGTTTTTCCATTAAGAAAACACGAATTTGACAGTCTCTCAACAAGATGTAAGATTCAGCGATTGCTGTGTCTGTATGAAACGTTCTAAAGGCATCTACAAACACAGACGTGTTTGAATAGTACATGGTACAGCTGGTCTTCTACTGCTACCATTGCTATAACATTACAACTTTATGCGGTGCAAATACCAATTGAGTAAGATGCTGTTAATCTTCATCCCGGTCTTTGAAAATGCCATAACCATGCTATGTATCGCCCAAATCCCCGCCAAACACGAATAATCACACGCAGTATTGCCTATAATTGCTTAAAATCTTTTCCCGATTGCACTAAACCATCCAAACCCAAATAGGCATTCTAAGTGTTGATCATGAAGCTATGTCTCACCAATGCAAGTATTGCCTATCACCCTTTTACTATCTATCCTAACACAAAAACAAACATGTTAAGTATTGCCTTTATTCCAGTTGCTGCTGCACCAAACAATCCAGAACACATAACCATGCTAAGTATTGATCTTGCTCTCTCCGCTCTAAGGCAAGTTTTGCAAACCACTTTTCAACTATCCATCCAACACACAAAAAGATCATGCTAAGTATTGCCTATAATCTTGTCCTTTTTGCACCAAACCATTCAACCACAATTAGTCATACAAAGCATTGACCATAGTCCCATTACTCCACCGCAAATATTGCCTATCGCTCTTTTGCTATCAATCCAAGCACCATCGATATTGGTTACCATCAATTGAAAATGTTTTTACAGGTTGTGTTCTCAGACAAGCTCCATTCAATAAGCGTCACCATGCTTCCTATCAGCCCTATCAGCACCATCATTGACGTATATCGCTACCTCAAGAAAAATATGCATGATTCCATGCGAAAATCCTTTGCGACGAAAGAAAATCCGTTATCAGAATACAGCTGTACAGCAGAGTTGCCTTTTTTTGATGGCTCTTGATCCTTGCACGGCATCATGTTGAAACACGCACCTCGGTATGCCGTATGCAATGCCGTCATCGTCAATCAGGCCCAGTTGCAAGGACATGCGAATTCAGCAGGTGGCAACATCAGGCAAATTATAATCTCGTTGATTGGGCAAGCCAGTATTTGATAGCTTTTCAACCTAGGCATCACAGGTAATGCTTTTTTTGTACTCTTAGGTATCGCGATTAGTTTAATTTTTCGAATACTCGTTTGGTATCTAAGTAATCTAGTGTTTGCATACTCTAAGAAGTACATTACTTACTCAGAAGTACTCTTCAATGAGTACTTCGCATCGCGGTATTTAGCTACTAAGCTAGTACTTACTTAGCCAACACCTGCGTAAATACTCTCGGAAAGCCTAGATATTCTTGCCTAGTTGATACTTACTGTTCGTATATATTAGTTATGCAACAGGCCGGTTTCTGTGTTCAGCAAATCTGGAAAATGAAGCTAGCATGTGGATAATGCTCGTTCATGCATACTTGATGTTCATGACTCGAGAATGTGCGATGGCAAGTAAGTCCTTGCATGCAGTGTTTGTATAAGCAGCATGAGGTGTAGTCGGTGTAGTCGTCAATGAAAGCTTTATGGCCATGCACGTGTCTGTTGCGATCACCTTCTAGGCAACACAAGCCGGTGTACATCTTGTATCTGAAGTATGTGCGACAGGCGTGGATACCCCGTATTGAAACATCGACGAATACCGCATACAAGTAGCATTAAGTCACGAAAGCTCCCCGTGTGGGAGCTTCGTTCAATACCTCACGAAGTGAGCTTGGGGTTATCGGGGGGGGTGCGGGGGGGGGGGAGGGGGTGGCTTTTTTTCGTTGTTTTTTCGGCTATCCACCGTCTGGAGCTGGGAAAACCGTCGTTGCCAAGGGGGCCTGTTTTGGGCCAGATTTGGGTTTGTTTGGTAAGTGGATTTTGGAGATGTTCGCAGGAGAAGTGGGGCTCCTCTGATGCTGCTGATGCTGGGTGTGCTTCCTGATGCTGCTGATGCTCACCGTATCGTGTCATGTGCGGCAAGAACGAAACTACTGATGCTGCTGATGCTGGCCGTATCGTGTCATGTGCGACAGGAACAGAACTACTGGAAGTACTGCGCTGGGCATGCTGCAACATGTTTGTCCGTTTATGGTTAGCCAAGGTGTCTGTCTGTTTGCTTTCTGCATCTTCCGGGCTGAGATCACACATTTGTAAGTGTCGTTACTTGCCTCGACGGGCCTGGACCCGCCTTTTGTTTTTTTCGGCTCGATTGGCTCCGCAGTTGCTGCCACGAGCTTCGCTAGGGCCTCTCTATTCCTGTAAGCTCCGTGTCGCCGTCCTACCCCTACTAGAGCTTTCGTCCCAGCCCGTGGCTCTCAAGTAAAAATGTTGAGCACACCTAGACATAGAGCGAATGTCATTTCAAAGTCAAACAGAAATGGATTAACTGTAGAAGCAAGCCAAGTTTGTAGGCTGTCGAGATGTGCGGTAAAGATAACCCCTATGCATGCCGGATATGCAACGATGGTTTGGGATTTAATCTGATCAACTTTTGGCCAGCTTTATGCGGCCTTCATTTTAAGCTGTCAGCATTTGGAAGACACCGCGTGTTGCTTTATGGAGCTGTAAACAAACCATCGGAAAGCATCAACACCTATCGAACATCACAGTTGATTTGTTCCCTTGCTCTGCACATTGAACACTGAAGATTACTGGAAAAGTTTGCCGTCAAATCTTAGATGTTCAGTGCTCAAAGCAACGATAGTCATCTTGAAAGTTCAATGTTCAAAGCCAAAAACAAGCTAATCCTGGTTGATAATTTTGAAATTTCGGTGTTTGGTTTTCTATCCTTCCCCATGCCCGGAGCCTGTAAACACAAAGCCGAAACTGACGCACTGCCCGGCAGCTCGGCCCTCTTTTCCACGCGAGCTCTCCGACCTCTCCAGAGGCCTCCTGGGTCCAAGACGCCCAGAAGACTCTCGAAGAGGAGCAGCGCCGCCTGGACGAGGCCTTGAGCGTGTTCAGGCTTTGGGTGGGATCTGGCAGTCCTGCAGAGATGAGTTTAGGACTCGATGAGTTTAGGACTCACTGAAATGTGAGTTGTTTCTGCAGCGTATGTGAGTGCATGGAAGTGATAGCGCGTCTCCCCGTTGTCTTGCAGACATCAGTGCAGCCTGTCTACTATTCTAATCCGTGCTGTCTGTAGTAGAGTACGAGTACAGTACTGCTGCGAAGGAATCAGGAAGTGCTTAAGCTCCAGATTGTGTGAGTGTTCAATCTCATTTGATTTTATACTGTTTGGTAAAGGCCCCATGGCCGGGACCACTGCCACTGTAAAACGATTACCACGACTGCTGCTGCCCCTTTTTATCAAATTCTACTACAAGAAGTTAGTCAGAACAACGAGAGCGGTCTCAACATTGATTGGTATCATTCTTCTGATTGTTTCAATGCCAGCAGAATTTGTCCTGGTACTTATACAAATGTCCAGCGTAGCAATCGTCCTAGTCCTAGTCGTAGTCGTCGTGGTAGCAGCAGCAGGAGGAGTAGTCGAGCAGCAGCAGGACTAGTAGTAGTCGTCGTCGTGGTAGTCGTAGTGGCAGTGGTGGCAGTGGCAGTTGCAGTGGCAGTGGCAGTAGTGGTATTGCAAGCTGGTCATACGATTGCATGGAGGTGAGAGCTCTTTGCAACGCTTGGCTAAGGTGTGTCGTAGATCATGGTCCCCTAGGACGTACAGCTTTTCTAAGTTTTCTGTCAAAAAAATTCGGTAGTGGCATTAGCAGTAGCAGTAGCAGCAGCACTTGCAGTAGCACTTGTAGCAGCAGCAGTCGTCGTCGTCGTGGCGGTGGTTGTGGTTGTGGTTGTGGTGGTGGTGCTGGTTGGTTGTGGTTGTGGTAGTTGTAGTTGTTTTTGTAGTTGTTTTTGTAGTTGTTGTAGTAGTAGTTGTTGTTGTTGTTGTGGAATAAGAGATATAAGCAGTATTGTTACGATCAGAATCAGAGCCGCCAATTTTGATATCAATCATCATTGTGATGGTGGCCAGTACTACTTCAGGACTGGTGGTGAATCAGACAGCAACCACGACGATGACATTGATGTTGATAGGGAGAATCATGATCAGAAGGTTTCTATTGGTTGTACGATCGTGGAGATGATGGTATGTGGCGGAGTTATGTGGGTCACGCTGAATCCGTTTCTACATAGCTCTGCTCATGACGGCCCGACAGGATTTCGCGGAGATGCAAGAGGCGCTGAACGGCCGCCTCGACTCCTGCTGGCTGCGCGCTCAGGGGGTTTGGGCATTTGGGTTTAGGCCGGGGAGGTACTGCATGTACATCTGCTTTTAGATGCATGTGTGCATGCGGATGCATGGGTACTATGTGTATGGTGTGTATGTATGTGTATTTGTGTGTATGTATGTGTATATATGTACACGTCAGCGTGGCGTGTGTACGTGTACATGTACGTCTATGTATATGTATATGTGAATGTATGTGTATATATATATGTATATATATATATATATATATATATATTTATTCATTTGTTTATATATGTATGTGTAGGTATATGTATATTTATAAATATAAACATGTATATGTATGTGTTTGTCAATATGTATCTGCATAGGCATACATGTATATGCATGTATGTGTCTGTATGCACGTATATGCATGTACGCATATGCATATATGTTGATGTATTTGTATGTGTATGTGTATGTATGCATGTATGTATGAATGTACATATGTACATATTCATGCATGCATGCATGCATGCATGCATGCATGCATGCATGCACGTACTATGCAGGCATGTGCACATGCTCGCATGCATGTGCATATGTATGTGTTAAAGAAAAGCATGCTGTGGTGTGGCGCTGTGTTTTGTTACTTTATGCTGTGTTAGGTTGTGTTGGGCTAATCTGTTTTGCGTGCACTTAAGTGCGCACACCGGCATGTATGTGTGTGCATGCATGTGTACGTAAGTTTGTGTGTATGTATGTATGTATGCATGCATGCATGCGTGGATGGATGGATGTATGAATGCATGTATGTATGTATGTATGCATGTATGTATGTATGTATGTATGTATGTATGCGTGTGTATGTGTGTGTATGTGTATGTGTATGTGTATGTGTATGTGTATGTGCATGTGCATGTGCATGTGCGTGGGCATGTGCATGTGCATGTGCATGTGCATGGGCATGGGCATGTGCATGTGCATGTGCATGTGCATGTGTATGTGTATGTGTATGTGTATTTGTATTTGTATGTGAATGTGTATGTATGTACAACAAGGCAGGAATAGAGCTTTCCCCGGCAGAAGGAAGGAAGAGAGAGAGAGAGAGTGCTGCAGGCACAAAAGAGCCTTTTCTTCACTCACTGCCATCCTACTCTGTTGTTATGTCTTGGCGTCTTGGCATGCGAACCAGTGCGTCCAGAACAAGATTTACAACGTAGGCCACCTCGGGGTTGTGTGGAAGGTCGAGATACAGGCGGGGCAAAGGGAGGTAGATCGGTCTACTTCTCACCGTACAGTATGGGCATTCGCGCTTCGGCATAGTTTCGATCCAACAGTTGGGCATCTGGAATTACTTCCTTCACGGTGTTGACTCGCTTACGGGCACCAGCGCAGTTTAGCTAAGCCCATCTGTTAAAAGGAATGGAGGGCCCCTCGACTGAGCGGGGAGTGGGGACTGCCCACTCCTCATGCCGAGCAAAGCAAAGCAAAGAGAGAGTGTGCATTGAAACTGCATATGTATATAGTGTATAAATTATGTAAACATCGTAATGTGCCTGCATGTGTGTACATGCAAGCCGAACCTTATAGGTCAGAGCTAAGGCGCAAGGCGGCAGCGGCCAAGGTGAAGACCGACGCGCTGTCGCTGCCCCAGGTCAACAAGCTGCAGCTTCACGGCTTCTGGTCGCCGTTGTGGGGTTTGGGGTTGTGAAGCTTGAAGCTTTTCGGGTTAAGAAGATTTGGCCATTTGAGGGTTTCGGGTGTGTAGCTTCATGGTAGACTGGAAATGGCTTAGCTCGTGGAAGTTTGATCTTGTTGCATGCAGCTTACTTGCTAGCATATCGCTGTGTTGAATCACCGCGTGTCCCCATGCATGAATTCTTGCCAGACTTGTGAAGCACGCTGGCGGTGGTTCGGCCAATCTGCGGCAATGTGGACGTCTTGTAATCGCAAATCCTGAGCCTTTCGCGCTTCGTACCACGTCCCTCTCGGACCGGTACCGGTAGACAACATCTGGGACAGCCGCAGTTTTGTCTCAGGCGGGGGAGCCAGCGCCAGCTGAAGTCCGACGTCGCTTTCTTGGTTTCAGGGGCCCTTGAGCTTGGCTTTCGAGGAGAGGGTCCAGAAGAACCCGGAATCTGGGAAGCCTATGGCACAGGGAGTAGCCTGCACTTCACGCTCTGCATAAACACAGCAAGCAACCGGGTTTGGCGATTTAGGGCATCTTTCTCGATTCTGGTCCGGTTCGTCCTCTCTCCACACGTGCAGACCCGGCCAGTGAGGTCCAGTCTTTCGCCCATGCTTTCAGCGGCTCTCTCAGCCATGTGTAGTGATCAGACCCCGTCTTTGGATCTTCTGTTCCCAACTGCAGAGCCCTACTTGTAGCGCTTTGGGCCGTAAACGGCATTTCGACCCGGCTTCTACCTGGTTTGCCAGCCCGAACTGCATCCATTCATTTGCTTGCAGTGAGAATCGCACACTGGAGCAATGAATTCAACAGGTACGAAGACCAATAAGGACAAGCAAGATTCACAAGAGTATTAGACTGAACAGTTAAAGGTAGTTGGAAAAATGCGTATCAATCACGGCGACATGACGATCATGGGCAACACACTCTGCAGTAGTCATCGTCTCGGAGAGGTTGGTATTTGGAGCTCTAGAAAACGATTCTTCAATTTGTCGTGCCGAAATTTGCTTGCCTCGTACTTACGGCTCTGCGAAGCTGAGAAGCCCGTGCGCTTCCGAAGTCCTTTCTGATTGGGAGACGCTGTTTTAACCTTCAGCCAGGCCCCACAAAGCTCCTCAGAACTCGCCGTGCCCTTTGCAAGGCAATTAGCGAAAACTCGGAGTCGGTGTGCCCTCAGGTTCCTAGGGTCCTAGAGCCAAGGGTTTTGGATTTTGGCGAGCTCCAGTCGACCTCCCACACCCGCAAGTCTCAAGCCCTAAACCCTCAAAGGCCAAGGCTTGAAAGGCGTTGAGCGGGAGCTCCTAGACAGGACCGCTCGGGGCTTCTTCCGAAGACTTCAGGCTGAGACCCAGAACGGCCCGTTGAGCCCTGCACTCCTTAGCGGGCTTTGCTTACGTGGCCTAACTGGAATTACTGCTCAGGCATTGCACGTCTTCTCTTCACTTCAGGATGGGTTATTGTGCGGCGTTTACAGAGGTTTCAGGTGGAGGCGTCTTGAGATTAGACAGGGTCAAACGGGCATCGGCTTTTTCTGGTAGTTGCAGTGTATCGTCTATAGTTTGGTTTTGCACACGCTTCATGCGAGCGACAGTCTAACACTCTATCCTATCTCCTGCCCGACTAATGTCATGCCAAGGTTGACAGTAGCTGGTTCTGAGCAGTGTGGTAGTGTAGAAGGGGCTGGTGGGATCATACTTAAAATAGAATTGCGACATACATCTGTACACCAAGAATTCAACACACACGCACAAGTGCAAGGCTTCAAAAGCCCGTATAGAAGTACGATCTCTATCATTCTGCCTCCCCTCCCTCCACTGGAAGAGTTTGTTCGATGTTTGACATGCTGCAACAAAGGCAGTTTGGAAGCTTGCATGATTGCGTTGGGCATAACTCTTGTGTTGCAAGTGGGGCAGTGCCAATTTCCTCCTCCCTTAGACTGCATTGGGGTATTTGTGCAAATCCCAATGTTTCTCAAAGTCACGCACTGCTGAGGCAACTAAACCGGATCCGTGTTTTGCAGCGTAATCAGAGCTTCCTGCTAGGATCGCCGCCGAGGAGAAGAAAATGTGGCGTTCTCGGGCATCTTCCGGGCTGATGGGGATGCGATGTGGGGAAACGAAAGTTGTTCCAGCCGCCAGAGGCGAGAGTGCACGCTGTGCCATGCGACTACTCGTGAAGCCAGCTTGGTCCATTCATGGATCAGGAGGAATTGTTCAAACGAATATGTTGTGTGGAGGTTCTGTTTTTGGGTATTGACATGAGATGTCCGGGATCTATCAAGACTTCCAGATATATTACTTTCATCAAGATTTCCGGCATGTAGTGCACTGTCATGTAATATGTGGCTCCCATGAACCTCAAAGCACCTAAGTGGAAAGAAAGTTTCCGCCGCTAGAGGGTTCAGCAAGCTGTTTGTGAGAGAGCGTGGACGCGGTGAGCCCTGGCTTCTCAGGTCATCGGTTCCAAAACAACCTCGAAGAACCGTCGCTTTCGCCTGTTGTGTGCGGTCTTCATCACACCGAAACAATGCAGAGCACCCAGGCGGACCGAGCTCAACCGCCTGCAAGACCTAGAGCATGGCTTAGAGGCGCTGTCGTTTCCGAGCCGAAGGTTTAGTGCTTCTGTGGTCTAGCTGGGGGGAGGTTTGGGTTGTAGTTGTGGCTTTCAGGGCCTCGCGGTTGAGGCGTGAAGAGTTTCAGGGTTCAGCTTCAGGGTTGTAGTCGCGGGTGTATGGTTTCGGACGGGTGGGTTTACAGTTCAGTGTCTATCGAGTAGCTTGGCTTCTTCCGCATCTTCGTCATGGTCGTCATCAGCAGAGTCATGACAATGTCGTTTATACTGAGAGTGATGCTAGGGCTCCATCGGGACACAGAGCATGCTTGGGGCGGCCAGTGAGGTCCTTCGAACCGTGCCCTGAACTTGATTTCTTACGCTCCCTTTCGCTATGCAGTGGGTTTTAAAGCGACGGGGGTTCAGCTAGCTTACCGTTTCGTGGTCCTGGACACTTGACCAGTCATGCTTGATGCCTGTTCCCTTTACTGCAGCGCAACCCGCCGAACCTTTAAACTGTACTTCCGCGCCTCATACACCCTTGTATGCATGTCCCAGTTTCAGGTACCCAGACTCAGTCATGGCTTTCTATGATGGCAGGGCTTAGTAACTTAGTAGAACTGGCTAGAAGAATGCATGCATGAGACATGTTGAAGGACATGCAGTTGTGCAGTGTGCGGATCAGGGTTCCTTTTTAGGGTTGAAGGTCCTGACCAGCGACGGTGAGGTGTATACGGCGAACTATAACTTGAAAAATGTCTTTCGGTTCTAGGCTGTGTATGTCAGCCAAGGGCCCGGAGCCATGGACTGTGAATCCCAGAAGCCGATCAGCCCATTCCATCCATCTATTGATGCTCATATCCTGTCAGGATCTGGGTTTCTAAACCCCAACACCTCTTTCGAGGTGAGGGTCAAAGCCGAGCGCGAGGTGAGGGCCAACGAGGTCCAATCGTGGAGGATGGCATGTGCGGCAGCAGCCTTTGTGGCTTTGTACTCTGACTTCCTCGCTCTACTAGTACTACAGATGTAAAGATGTGGTAGTAAGATAAAGGGTGGTATGGCGGAAAGGATACCAAACTATCAGTCAAATGCTGGCAGCACAGTTGTCAGTAACAGTCACGCAGGAGCCGCCACGCCGCCTTGGCCACAGACCTCGAGGCGCTAATCACGCGTCGGGACCAGGAGGCAGGGGCTCAATTGAAGATCAGCTCCGTCTGTGCAGGTAAGAGGGTGTGTAAAGTTTTCGAGCTTCATTGTCAACAACAACTTTCCAGCGGCGTGCGTCTGACAGCTTTGACGTCCGACGGAGGTTTTTGAGCTCCAGTCGAAGGTCAATCTGGCGATCAGTAGTCGTGAATCGCAGGAGCCTGGCCTGGAGCATGTCAAACCTTGCTCTGCCGGCTGTGCGCATTTTTCGAGACGATTGCATTGGCAGGAGTCCTCCGCAAAGCAGGAGCGTGCTGCCCTGCAAGAAAAGGCTGGGGTGGTGTTGGATGCGCATTGCATGCTTTGCATGTTGTGACGGTGTCTGCCTCCAGGCGGAAGCTTTGTCCAAGGACGTCGCCTTGGTCGAGGCTGCGGA